GTAAATGGTCTCAATGCACCAATCAAAAGAAACAGACTAGCAGAATGGATCAAGAAACAAAATCCAACCATATGCTGTTTACAGGAAACCCATCTAACCCAGAAGGATACTCACAGACTGAAAGTCAAAGGATGGAAAACAATTCTTCATGCAGCAGGAATCCAAAAAAAGGCAGGAATAGCCATTCTGTTTGCAGACAACATGAACTTTAAACCAACAATGACCATAAAGGACAAAGAAGGTCACTACATACTCGTAAGGGGAAAACTCCAAGAGGAAGAGATAACTATCTTAAATATATATGCACCAAACTCCAGAGCACCCAGTTATATAAAACAATTATTAACAGAAATGAAAACTCAAATTATCAGTAACACAATTGTAACAGGAGACCTTAATACACCACTGACACCAAGGGACAGATCAACCAGACAGAAAATGAGCAAAGAAATAACAGAACTGAATCACACCTGTGAACAAATGGATTTGATAGACATATACAGAATGTTCCACCCAACAACATCAGAATACACATTCTTCTCAGCAGTACATGGATCATTTTCTAAAATAGACCATATATTAGCTCACAGAACATATTTAAGCAAATGCAAAAGAGTTGAAATCATCCCTTGCATATTATCGGATCATAGCGCTCTGAAATTAGAAATTAATGACAAAGGATACTGCAAAAATTCCGCAAACACATGGAAACTAAATAACACACTCTTGAGTAATCAGTGGGTCACAGAAGAAATTAAAGAAGAAATTAAACAATACCTAAAAGAAAATGAAAATGCAGATACAACTTACCGGAATCTGTGGGATGCAATGAAAGCCGTCCTGAGAGGAAAATTTATTGCACTGAGTTCCCACATCAGGAAAACAGAACGAATACAAATAAATAACTTGATGCTACACCTCAAACAGCTAGAAAAAGAAGAGCAAGTCAAGCCCAAAGCCAAAAGAAGAGAGGAAATTATAAAAATCAGAGCAGAAATCAATGCAATAGAGACTAAGAAAACAATCCAAAGAATCAACGAATCAAAGAGTTGGTTCTTTGAAAGAATAAATAAAATTGATAAGCCTCTAGCCAACCTTATTAAAAAAAGGAAAGAAAAAGCTCAAATTCATGCAATAAGAAATGAAAAAGGAGAAATCACTACAGACCCAATAGAAATACAGAGGATCATCAACACCTATTTCGAAAACCTCTACTCTCAAAAGTTTGATAACACAGAAGAAATAGACAGATTCTTAGAAGCATATGAAGTACCAAAGCTAGATCAAGAGGATATAAAACTGTTGAATAACCCAATCTCTGCTAATGAAATTGAGAATGTAATTGGGTCCTTGCCCACCAAGAAGAGCCCAGGCCCAGATGGATTCACTGCAGAATTCTACAAGAAATATAAAGAAGACCTAATGCTGACACTCCTCAAACTATTCAATGAAATTGAAAGGGAAGCAATCCTTCCTAAGTCATTCCTGGAAGCAAATATTACTCTAGTACCAAAACCTGAGAAAGACCCAACTATAAAAGAGAACTATAGACCGATCTCCCTAATGAACACAGATGCAAAAATCCTCAATAAAATATTGGCAAATAGGATCCAGCAAATCATCAAGAAGATTATACACCATGACCAAGTGGGATTCATCCCAGGAATGCAAGGATGGTTCAACATACGCAAATCAATAAATGTAATCCACCATATCAATAAAGCCAAAAATAAGAATCACATGATCATCTCTATAGATGCAGAAAAAGCCTTCGATAAGGTCCAACACTTATTCATGATAAGAACTTTACAGAAAATTGGAATAAATGGTCTTTACCTCAATATAATAAAGGCCATTTATGACAAACCAACAGCCAGCATCATACTAAATGGCCAAAAATTGAAAGCCTTTACTTTAAAATCGGGTACAAGACAAGGATGTCCTTTATCACCACTCCTATTTAATATAGTACTGGAAGTACTAGCCAGAGCAATTAGGCAAGAAAGAGAAATAAAAGGGGTAAAGATAGGAAAAGAAGAAGTTAAATTATCATTGTTTGCAGATGACATGATACTCTACATAGAAGACCCCCTAAACTCCATTGAAATACTCTTAGATACAATAAATAAATTCAGTAATGTGGCTGGATACAAAATCAATACTCAGAAATCAATAGCATTCCTATACACGAACAACAAAATTACAGAGAGGGAAATAAGAGAAACTGGACTATTCACATTAGCAAGCAAAAAAATGAAATATTTAGGAATTACTCTTACGAAAGAAGTGAAAGACTTATACAGTGAAAATTATAATACACTGAAAAAGGAAATTGAAGATGATCTCAGAAAATGGAAAGACATCCCTTGCTCATGGATAGGAAGAACAAACATTGTGAAAATGGCCATTCTCCCAAAACTGTTACACAGATTCAATGCAATCCCAATAGAAATACCATCAACATACCTTATAGATCTAGAGAAATCACTCCTAAATTTCATCTGGAACCAGAAGAGACCTAGAATCGCAAAGGCAATTCTAAGCAGCAAAGACAAAGCAGGAGGCATCACAATCCCTGACTTGAAGTTATACTACAAAGCAACAGTAGTAAAATCAACATGGTATTGGAATCAAAACAGAGCTGAAGATCAGTGGAATAGATTAGAAGATACAACCACAACTACGAACACACTCAACCACCTTATTTTTGATAAAGGAGCCAAGCAGGTTCACTGGAAGAACGACAGTCTCTTTAATAAATGGTGCTGGAAAAACTGGCTCTCCATTTGCCGAAAACTAAAGCTAGACCCATGTCTATCACCATGTACTAAATTAAAATCTAAATGGGTCAAAGATCTGAATATTAAAACAGAAACACTAAATCTATTGGAAAACAAAATAGGTAGAAACCTTGGAGACATAGGAGTAGGTAAAGAATTCATGAACAGGACTCAAACCGCACGGGAAATACTTCCCAGAATCAATAACTGGGACCACTTCTTATTAAAAAGTTTCTGCATGTCAAGGGAAATCTCCAGCATAGTGAAAAGAAAACCCACAAACTGGGAAAAGATTTTAGTGAACTCTCTCTCAGACAAGGGCCTCTTGTCTAAAACATATAAAGAATTAAAGAAACTCAGACCTCCGAAATTCAAAGATCCAATCCAAAAATGGGCATCTGAGATGAATATGCAATTCTCAGATGAAGACATGCAAATGGCAAATAAATACATGAAAAAATGCTCATCATCATTGGTCATTAGAGAAATGCAAATTAAAACCACACTGAGATACCATCTCACTCCTGAAAGAATGGCCAGGATCAAGAAAACCAACAACGACAAATGCTGGAGAGGCTGTGGGGAAAGAGGAACTCTCCTGCACTGCTGGTGGGAGTGTAGACTGGTACAGCCTTTGTGGAGATCTGTCTGGAGATTTCTCAAAAAGTTGGGACTGGAAATCCCATTTATTCCAGCTATTCCACTTCTAGGCATATTCCCAGAAGAACTGAAAGCATCATACCACAGTGATATATGTGCATCTATGTTTATAGCAGCACAATTTGTAATCGCCAGATCTTGGAAACAACCCAAGTGCCCATCAACTGAGGAATGGATAAAAAAGTTGTGGTATTTCTATACAATGGAGTATTATTCAGCTATAAAGAAGGATCACATTGAGATATTTATCAATAAATGGGCGCAGCTTGAGACCATACTCATTAGTGAAATAAATCAATCTCGCATGTGTGAATACCGAATAGTTTCCCTAATGTAAATAATGATTCAAATATATAAAAATATGTGGTAATCATGATTCCCCATTAGGTGGCCTTGAAGCCTTATAAAGTTTTCACTCATTAATTAGAAAGGCTTTATTCTGGGCTTCTTGATATGAAAATATTTGAAGCTAGAGTATATGAAGTTTTACCCAAATATTTCAAGGAAAAAGACACTATGGTAACTACTATTAAGTCAGGTTATAAGGTGGTGAAGTACTAGGTTGTTGAAACAGTCATGCTGTGACCTCTATTGTTATATTGTTATGTCCTGTTTTATCTCAATCTCCCCCTTATTGTTTCAAAAAAAATTATTTAGTCATTTCTTATGTTTGTCTTAATTAAAGAAAAAATTCAAAAAAATTAGGATATATAAATAGTAACTCTTTTCGATTTCCTATTAACTTGTTTTGAAGTCCTGTAGTACTCCCACGATCTTGTTTTGACTGATTAGACTCTGTTCCATTCTATATGATAGTATCAAGTTTGAAGACATAGGCAACTACTTTGAAGACAATAAGATTCACTAAGATACCCATTCTGGTTTGACTATTGTCTTCTTTGGAAGTCCTGTAATGTTTACAATGCCTAAGTTTTATTGGTCTTGTTCTCTACTGTTTTGTCCAACTTTATAATATCTAATAAGATAGACAATTCTTTTTAAGGAAACAAGGGACAACGTTGATAACCATTGTTGATAAACTTGTACTCTGTTCTACACCATGTGCTATGTCTATCCTTGGTATTGACTGACAGCTTTGTTTTGCCATATTTGACTGTATTCTTCCCCCCCCCCCCCAAGAAAGTAATAAGCACTAAGGAGTAATAAAATCCAAGATGTGTAAATTTTGTTGTAAAAAAGAGAGGGAAAAAAAAAAAAGAAAAAGAGCTCTAACGGATATAACAGCAAGTGTGTTTGGGGGTGTTAAATAGCTGACTTTATCAATGTTTTTGGAACATTGAACACAGCTGTTTGCAGTCTCCCTGTTTGAATGTCCACCTTGTGTTCTTTGATACTGTGATTTGAGGAACTATTTTCAAGAAAATAGTGTGTAATCTACTAGCAGGTAATTTCTTACTGTTATGTTGTTTTGTTTTGTTTTGTTTTGTAGTTCTGTATTGCGTGTACCCTTACGCCGCTTTGGTTTGTTTTGTGTTTTTCACTTTTTCCTCTTAAATTAAAAAAAAAAAACTGCAAGTTAATACTAAATAATGGAGTAACTTTGTTCAAAACTATTATTTATTTTCCATGAAGATAAGAGGCATTAATACATTTGCTATAGGAAATTCTATAAGAAAGAGCTACATGTTACCAATATGACAAAAACACATAAAAACTCTACTTACGAAAGTGTCAGCCCTATAAAAACATGTTAAATGAAAGGCATTATTCCATGTGAGTGAACTATACAGAAATGTGGATTTATTCAGACTTGTTTTGAAATGTAATTTGTACAGTGAGCTTTTTATTCCTTTGATGGCAATGAAACTGATTTATTGGTTTGTGTTGGAAGTATGATAGATAACAGATACCAAGAGAGAAGTTTTAATAAAACATTCAAGGAAGAAAACAAAAAGTGGGTATGTCTTTTTACATTTCAGCTAATAAATACAAAGTGTAACTAGGGTTTTAAATGAAAACCATCCTGGTTATTGGAGCTTAGAAGAGCTATTGAAAATTGGGTAGAACACTCTAATTTTTCATACTTACAGCAAAGATAAGAAGTTCAAAAGCTAGAGTGAGTGGTACAATACAGTTTGGTTTGAGTACAGGAAGCCAATGTTTTCTCAAGAAACCTGCAAGTAGTCATGAAGGAGAAAAGTGGTTCCTGATTACTAGAGTCTGCCTGAGCTCTTTATGATTGTGCTCTTGGATCTGGGGGAACTGAGTAACAGAATATTTAATTTTATACCGAGTCACTGAGTGAAAACACTGGATACTTCTAGGGAAGTTTTAGAAGATATATTACCAGTATGCATACTTCATCTAGCTCAAAGTGCTGAGAAGAAATAAGCCACGTAAGGGTAGTCGAGACCATCATGCTCACAAAGCCTGGTGTGTGTAAGCCACTCATCTTCATGAGCCCTGTCACATACCCTTCAGACAGACTGCTTGGAAGAAATCAGTTCTTCTTTACTTTCAACACTGGAAGGAAAATGTAGCTCCTTATGAGCACCCGTGAGCTGTGTTGATTTCGGTGTTCCCTCTTAGTGTCTAGCTTCAGAGCATGATGAATCACTTCCCATTCCTGGAGTCAGGCTCTTTAAGATAGACACGAAGGAGCCAGGGAGGAAAATTTACTTTACATACCAGTAGCCAAAGCAAAACAGTTTTCTAGTGGGATAGCAGCCCAAATTTGGCTGGCTCCTTAGAATATACTTCACACATATTCACAGCTGGCTCCTTAGAATATACTTCACATATTTGGAAAAAAATAAGAGACCCAGATTCCACTTGGCTCAAAAACAGGAATTATGAATTATGAGAAAGAATATGACTAAGGATTTACATCAACCAGAGTTGGTGGTTTTGTTAATATCAAAAGCTTTTTGGCTACAATCTATGGTGGCCTGACAAATTTAAAATGCCACTGTAAGTTGATACACATATATATCTCAATATATGTATCTCGATGTATAGATGGATACATGCATGACAGCACAAAGGGAAAATACATGAAACTATTGATACAGTTTGTAGAGCTCAAATCTGTTACTAAATATGGATTCTATCAAGTAGTTCATCCAATTTCCAGTTACATCCACATGTCAGTTCTTCCTTTTTGACTTTCGACTTCCCAAATCTTTCAAAGAACACCATTTTAAGAGGGTCCCCACAATTCCCATGCTATTCCTGAAATCATTTGCTTTTCTGGAGGAGTTTTCAGAAACAAAAAATACCCCAAGTAATTCTACCACAACTTTTCTTGAAGGACTATTAAAATCCCTCTAAGAAATTTTTGAGATAGTATTAAATGAAGTAGAATGTGACAGCAAAAAGCATCAAAAGACAACCTACATAATTTCTAAAGCTCTTATATTATTTTGGCTTGGTTTGGACACAAGTAATTATGGAACACATTGGTGTGTAGTGCATCTCATGGGAAAAATGGCTAGGTATTCATCTTTTTTCAGAAACAATATTTTTCTATGTTACAATTAAGGCATATACATAAGAAAAGCACATCTTCTGGCTTTTCATGTACAAAATGGTTTAAGACAGTAAGACTCAAAAGGGCTTGTGATTCAAAATTTAAAAATAAATTCCTCTCGATTTTCCCAAAGATATGTTTCATACATTTGATACATTTCTTACTTTGGCAAAATATTAAGGGTCTAAATAATTCAACCATGTGTAAGCACTGGCATATCTGGTTACATACTGAATAAATCCTTTAATCTATTTACACATAGACATAGATATAGATGTACCTGTGTGTATACACATGTATCCTCATATACTGTCATTAAATGCGATCCTACATTCTTGGATATAGAAGTTGATGATGCACCTTTCTATGTGCCATGGCACTAGCAAAGCTAGGCTGGACCTGCTTGCATTCATTGCATTGCACGTTAGTACAGTGGTAAGTTCAGTGTCCAGAGAGAAAGAGTCCCTTACTACACCCTCCTTAAACTGAAGCTTCTTTCATGCTTGATACAAGATGTGTGTACTCTTTTATCGAGGTGGTCTTGAACCACAGATACAATCACAACGTTCATGGTGATCCAGCTGGATGTCAACAAGGGCCATATTCTTAGCTTTGCCCCTCTTTTTGAAACGGCCAGGCTCAAACTTTAATACCTAAAACAAGAAGCATATTTCTGGTTAGTACACTTTTAGATCTTAACTTATTTACATGTCACTTATCCCCTTTGTGAAAACTCATTCTTCATCATTTGAGAGCCCAACAGAAGCTGTGGGCTTGCTATTAGGATGATGTGCATGCAAAAAAAAAAGTATTGTTCTTATAATCATAAACTCCCCAAGGGGCAGAATTTCACTCGGCCCAGAGTGGTGTGGCTATAACACCTACCTGTCATACTACAGTGACCTCAGGTATCCTAGCAGATATTTAGTTTTCTAAGGGCCTGATTTGTGGAAAATGGCATTCCAAATATATCATTGTTCTTCTGACCAAAGCATGTGCTACAGATGAACATAATATTGAGTGTATTATCACCACAGACAGGACAGTGAACAAGGTATGAACATAATATGCTAGTATGAGTAAATGCAAATTTTCCATGAGACCATAGGTGGCCATAAATCAGTGATAATATGTTCATGACCTCACATATTTGTGAAGATGGAATACCTTTTACAATTTAAAATAGGTCAGGCTACCTTAAACTCTTTGTGCATTAATACCTTCTCATCGATGCAGCATGACTCTTTTAATGCAGGATGATTTTAATTAATAAGCATATCCTGAATTTTTTTAAATTAATAAATTTAAACATAATTTCTCAAATTAATAGTTTAAATATAAATTAACCCTTCTTTGCTATGGCCTTAAATGAGTAAAAACATTATCTCAAGGTTAAACACTTGATAAAACTATATACTTGTTTTGATATACAGTTGTTTATATCTTGTATATCTTTAGGTTCTTGTTGACCTTTTTTTAATTTTGTTCTATTTTGCTCTGAGACTTTTCATCATGGCATCTCCAAAATGTTACGTAACAATTTACGTTTCCATACATTTTGCACAGATACTATAATTTTGCTTTCAGCTAACTTTGGTCTGTCACATAACGGAAAAACTATCATTATATCCATCTTACAGATTGGACATCTGAGGTTGTAGAGGAGAAGTTGTTTTTCTAGAGCCTTCCAGTGGATTAGACCTGGGGCCAGGACTATGGTTACTGGGCTCTGCACCTACAACTTCCTCTTGTTTCTTATGGGTGTGTGTGACGGTGGGATGTGTATGGAAACCTGTTATGCTTTCTGTGGTACAATTTAGTACTAGATGATGTTCAGGAACAATGATACCTTATTGTGGTATTTGCATAGTTATTAATGACATGCCTGTAATTCCTTAGTATAGTTTGTAATCTCAGCCAGTTTTTCACTTTTTCAATGAATAAAGACTTAAGCAAAACAAAACTACTAGAATAAATGTGCCCAAGGTCCTTTGCCCTCATGTGTCCTAAGGTGCACATTTTTTAACTTTTAGCCATGCTTCTCCCTGGGAGTTCCAGTCAGGTGAATAAGTTACTGCATTTGTGACTCAAGGGATATGAAGTTTGAGTGAAAAAAAATGTGAATACAAAATTGGGAGAAAGACATGGAATATCTAAGAGAGTTCATGCAGGAGGCACAAAAATTCCAAAGTATTTATTATTGGTAAAGTTAGTCCGAATGCTAGTTTTAATAGCTAATTATATTTTTATCATTGATCTACAAATGCACAGCATCTTAAATATGTATCACATGTTTCCACATGGTTCATTATGTATTTTCCCTATTGATTGGGCTATAAGAGCTTGAAGGCAAGAACAGTAAAACCTGAGGGCCTACTAGATGACAGGCACAGCTGTGAGAGGAACAATAAACAGTTACTTGCACTTCACTGAGCTGTGGGAAAAAAAGCTTTGTAATTGAGTTCAAAGATTACAAGAGAGTGTAGGTTACTTTTATGAGATCCTGGAGTCAATATATGGTAGAACCAGAATTTGAGTTTGCATAGCTCAGGTCACGCCCTTCCTAATGTAATCTGGTTTGCATTTTTCAACAGTCCAGTGGGAAGACAGTAGGTGTTGAAGAACTGCATCTGAGTAAACAAGATGTGCAATGCTAGAAAGGAAAGGTTTCAGGTTCATTCTTTTTTGTTTCCTCCTTCAACAAACACAAGAGGTAAAACCAATAGAAAAGGAGATAAGGATGGGAAAAATAAAACATCCCATGTTTTATGTAAGCTTTAATCCTTTCACAAATTTGAAACAAAATTGAAAGTTCTGAGACCAGAGTTACAGAACTTTTCTGTTTCCCATATATCATCCTCTGGATACATACAAAAAAAAAAAAAAAGATGTTGATTCTCAATGAAAAAAATAAGTGACCAAAACTAATGGCTAAACAATGTATCATATTTGGGGCATGAAATAATCCTCTTTGTAATTAATATAAAAACCCTATGATTCCATATTTGTTAAAAGTGCTTTGGAATGAGATTGGTCCCCCATAGCTTTGCTAAGAATTTCTCCAATGCATTAGTCACTGTCACCCAAGACTGTCTTTACATGAGGTAGCTTTGGGAGCTGCAGAGTACAGGGAAGGGAAATGATTGCAGAGAAGCTGAGTGTGTGATAAATATTCTTTGTTTGAAGAAGCCATTATCAAGGCCTAATAATTTGTGATGATTGCTATCTGTAAAAGCAGGTTCTCTTGATTTGCTTTCTCATTTGATGGCAAACAAGAGCGAGTGTTTTATGATAAGAGCAAAACCCTGGGCAAGTTTTCTAACTGGTCTTCTGAGTGTTCAGGGATTTTCCCTGTTTTATATTAAGCAACACAAGCACAGTTTATATGTGTTTTGCTGATAAGAAGAGAAAAATGAATTGGCAGACACTTTTCCCAGACAAGACAGAAAGCACTGTTTGAACAAAGTAGAAATTGGACCAGCTGATCACAGTGCTGATGTTCAAAGCTTTTGGACCATGTAATAGTCTTAGGTTCAGGTACACAGCACTGAAAGCAGGAAGAAAGCAAAGCTGATGTAAAATAAAATGAAAAGCTTTTATCAGAGAAGGCAAACTGGCGGGTTATAGTTTATCTGGTCACCTTTAAAGGGAAGGAAGCATTGAATTAGTTACAGCAGCTGGAGGAAGTTTGCTAATAGGAACCATCACAAAATTCTTTCCTATGGCCTAAGCTCTGATTCACAGCTGCAAGCACACACATGGAAATACAAATTCACTGAGGGGTAGCCAGGCATTTCTTAGCACCTATGGGTGAAAATAGAAATCCTGTCTCTTCTCCCCACCCACTGGAAAGTCACGTGAAGCCAGAAAAAGTTGACATTCATTAAATGAGAGGGACTGAGCTGGTTAGTGGCTTTTATACCATTATGCAAAATCAGAGATGTTTAGTTTTATAAATTGCCACATCACGAAAGATTTAACTACAGTTACTTGCCTTGTTGCCAATAAAGCACTGAATGAATCATTGCCATAAAGCTATTATACTAATAAAACAATATGAGGCAGAAATGCTATCTGCTGAGTTGGGATCTTGTTTATTGGGAATATTAAAAAAAAGGTTGTTAAGGCTTTGTAACAATTGCTAAATTAATGGCTGACATAGGAACACAAGCATATTTCAGGACCACATGCATTGCATAAATCTGAATCATTGAGAGTCTATTTAAGATTCTACCCAACTTCTAAAGCAGCCAGTATTCAATGTACACACAATTCATTAGGAAAAACAAAAGCTTCCAATTTTTGCTTCTATTTTGACTTCTTTTTTGTGTTAAGACTGGGAAAACTTTACATAGAAGATTTTTAGAAGATAATAGTAAATTATGCTCAAACTTAAGTGACTACAAGAGAGACATTTGGGTGACATTTGCTACCTGCTAGCAATAGACACACTGGAGACTGAGCACTGTAATGGAAGGGCTGATGTCAGTTCCTGACATAGTTCCCTAAGGATGGACATACATGACAGACAGTTCAGCAATTATATGCTGAGAAGTTTGAAGGTAGTAAAAGGCTGGGTTTCAGTGAGGGTGTTTAAACTCTTGTGGACTCTGAAAATGCAATCTTGATATATGTAGGTTTTCTATGAGCACTTTGGGGTGATCATGGGGTATTTAGCTGCAATATGTATTTAGCTGTAGTCCTGCCTTCAGAGAATGAAGCAGTGGAATGATTTTGCCAGCATTTTAGAGGACTGGTGACTACACATTCAGCATACTGATTGCAGAAAACATAATGGAAGCCTGGCTGGGTACCAAATTCCAGAACATTAGCATCGGGGATCATTCATGGTACAAGTGGACCTTTGTTCGCCTGAAGAATATCTTGTTCCCTGGATAACTTTCTAAACTTTAGCAAGAAGGCCTGATGTGAAACTGTACTGAGCAGGAAAGGATATGCAGTATTCACATGGAAAGTCTTTTTACCTAACAAAGTGAGTCATCAGAGCCGAGAGGTCATCAGAGCTAAGGGACCCAAATCATGAGCTCAAATAATTCCACCAACACTTACCTGCCTGTCTTGGTCTTTACAGTGTCTATATGCTTTTCATTACCACTGTAGTGATGAGTGAATTAACTTTTAATAAGCAGTCTATAAACATTAACTGTGGCAGATCATATCTTTCTTCTGCATTTACCTTGCACTTTAATCACCAATTGGTTCATATTCCTGACACAATTTTCAGTAGGATAAACTTTGGAGTGGGGGATTGAGTGCAACAGTTAATGGGTATCTGTAATTTCAGATCTTCCTGGAAAGTCAAAATTGTAGTTTATTATGGGAAATAACTGAGGAATGCTGTGGGCATGGGCGATGTGGCAGACTTGAAACCAGAGTCGTTGATCCTGTGATTCGCCTGCTCTGTCACGTGGCTCTGAACAGAACAGAGCCAAGGCCAGACTGACTCATGGTTTTACTCAAAGCAAGAAGCAGGAAGGCTCTCTATAAGCTCTAGAAATATGGTTTCCAGAAAAACAGTAGAGAAATTTTCCTGACTTTTGTTATGGTTGGTTCTGATCTTGACCCCAGATCTCACTGTCTTTTGCTAGGGAATAGATATTCCCTGAATAAAATTTCTTTTCTCTCTTTGGTCTCACTTTGTAAGGTTAGGTAAATTTGTATTAACAACAGATGTTTCAGCAGTGTAAAAGCTCACAGATACTATTCTTTTACCTCAAGTCTGCAGCCCAGACATCCTAGCATAATGTTGCTGAGTAACTTGCCATTCATGTCTTCCTTATTGAAAACTGGTTCTTCTGACTTGATATCAGCCCTTCCACTAGTTATTACACACAACTATTTTATGCATCATATATAAATGCTAACTTACATCTCCTAGCTTTTAACTTAATAAAATACAAAGTTTTAATACAAGATTTATACTAAAGTAAAAAGGATCCTCTAAAATATTTTCCATTTTATTCAGAGACAAGAATAAAACTAGATGCAGCAGATGTATCAGACAGCAGGTCTCCAAGGCTTGCGCTGAGCAGTACAGTAGCCAGTGGGCCACATATGGCTATTTATATTTCAATTAGTTAAGAATAAATACAATTTAAAAATTCATTTTCTCACTGTCTTATGTCTGACAGGCACGTACCGCTAGTGCGGCTGAATGGGACGGTACAGACACGGGATTTCTCCAGTGTGGAAAATTCCTTTACACAGTGCAGATGGGTATGCCAGCATCAGGATAAAAATACCAGAGGAAGACGGAAATTTAACTTCTGTCTTCCTCTGCTGTTTCTTAATTTTTAAATTTTTGGCTGAATAGATGTAGCCTCAGGACTGAATGGTGAAAAACAGAAAGTATTAAATGGAAAAATTCAACATATTTCCTGGGAATATCTTTTTCCTGTTCATTATCTATTATTAAGGGGGGAAATGGACTGAAATAATAGCATTTTCTAATTGTGTATAAAGTACATTTTCTAGAACCCTCTATTAAAAAATCACTGCCAAAAGTATCTTTCAAAATAGCAGAAGCATCTTTAAAGGGTACTATCATCTTCCCTTCACTTTTCTCTACCAGGCTACAAAACTTTGGAAGGATTTTCTAACTTTTTCCTGAAGTAGGATAAGAGGCCCATATGCACCCTCCCTTAACCAAGAAGAGTAGAGTATTATTTTTGAAGATAAAGAACAACAGACAAGACCTTACTTATTATCATCAGGTCCTATGCTTTGCTCTACCTTAATTCTCCATGACTGCCCACAACAATGAAACCAAAAAGGCTTGAGGTAAACCACTGCATGGGTGAGGGAAGAGATGGGGGGGGGCTTTCACTTCCTTGTGAGGCATCCATAGATCTTAAAATATTCGTGTGTTTTTCTGTATTCATTTGTTTCTGTCTTACATTGGCCTCAGTCATGAGCCCACAATGAATATGAGGTAAGGTGTACCTATATATGCCAACAGGAAACAGGCTAACAGGCATAGAACAATTGTTAGGAATGAGGAACTATACCCGACAGGGAAGTTACAAACTTTTAAGTACAGGAACTAATACTGCCTTGCAGTGGAAATTCAAATTTCTATAGGAGATAGAGTGGGCACATCATTAGAAGCTTTCTAATTCTTTTCTGATTTTAATTCCTTAATGTTGAGAAATAAAAAATGTATAGTGGATCATGAATACTTGCTGTGTGACAAGTTCTCATTATTCCCTTGAGGGTGTCATCACTCATAGAAGCTCATTTCACATCTCATCAGTTGCAACCATGAGCTAGGGAAACTGCTTTTTCATTTCTCAGAGACCAGAATACAAAAAGAGAACTAATAGAACATAGGACTAGCATTTTCCCTAATGAGCCTAGGCTCAAGCAACCCACATTTCTGGAAATGGAATAAGCCTTTTGATATTTTGCACAGGGCTCTTGACAGTGATAATTGTGACACACTTCAAGGGTATTTTCGGAGCCCGAAGGAAATATGACAGCAGTGTGTGTTCCAGGTATGAAGTTACTGACTGGGTGATTGATGCTGTTTCTCCCTTTGTCCAGTGCTTGGCAGAATGATTTTGTATAGAGCTCTGCAGAGCCCCAGAAAAAAAAGTATTATTATGTGTTTTAATGGGGTGCCTGAGAGTACATTTTCAAAAGGGTGCAGCATTTTGGATCACTCTTGAATGAGTACGAGATCAAAGATAGTCCTCCCTAGTTTTAATTGTGAACAGAAACTTGCAGGTAATGCTTTTTGTATATACAGAGAAGAAAGGATCTAAGAACATGAAGAGGGTAATCAGGCACTTTACATTTCTTTGGAGGGGAAGCTTTGGCAAGAAAGAGCCTTTTGGGTGTGTAATCAACTCTGCTGTTTCCGACATACAGAATTTTAAAATTCAAGTTGAAACTTTTGTCTGAGGATAGGGTCAAGATAAAAATAAAGAACTCTACAAATACATCAAAGGCCTGAACTTGAAATGTTCTTCCTCTCAGTTATTATTAGTGAGAGATTATAAATTATTTTAACTCTAACTTGATTATTACATTCTGGATTCATCCTTGGAGTCTGATAAATATTACCAAATTCAGATTCTTAAACATAAAGGACAGCATCCAATCTAGAGTTCATCACTTCACACAAAAATAAAACACAATGCATACAGATGATAGCATTCTGTAGGTATGAGAAATTGGTTTTCTTTTGAAAACATTGGAGTGGAGTAAGTAATTCCTATGACTAAATAGTATATTTCATGTAGGTCTATAACAATTTGTCTCCCTTGACTTATGTAAGTGTGAATTTCTCAGATTGAAAATATCAGTTATGATGCACATATTTTTGATTAGCCCAGCAGTAATTTCATTTATTACTATTATACTGGCTTCACAACAAAGATGAACAAATTAAACATAACTAAAACAAAAAGCCCTCATTCCAGGCCAGTTTTATAGAGCTGGGCATTATATAGAGAGGAACACCTACATATTCCTTTGTCTTAGAGCAACTCTAAGAATCATTACTAACAATAATTTGCTTCACATTTTAACTTTTATTTATAAATGTATTCCTGTATAATGTTTCATACATTACCATCTGCATTTCATGGACCTTATTTTATTTTATCTGCAGACTCCTAGAAGGATTTATCCAGTATAATTTCTCAGGCCCACTTCACATATATGAAAACTAAGTTTCTAGACTTTAATGACTGTTAAACTTCCTCACAATCAGGAAGTAATTAGAGCTGTTGTCAATGTCTTTTAATTCTCCTGTTTCTTTTATCCTCAGAGATAGCCAGGATCACTAGGGACAAGAATACAGACTGGCAGCAGTTGAGGAGTTCTGATCCCAGCTTTGTGATTTTCTGACTATGTTTTATCGGTCAACCTTCTGGTCCTGGTAGGCCTTGTTTATTCACCTAGTAAAAGAATACCCATGCCCTCGGCTTTACTGTACTACTGTTAAACTGCTGCTGTAGAAGCATCCAGTCATACTCATTTGGGTTTGCTATTATTAAATATTACTGTTCTTAACGTTTTTTTAGTAACTTTTATGTTTGCCTTAGCTTTTGGTGTGACAGTATTTCCCCCAGCACTATTTAGGAAAAACAAGCATGTTAGAAAAATAAATATTTTTATATTTAGAGAATTAAAAGGTCTCTGACAATTTATATTTTCTGTGTTTACATGTTTAATTGCTTAATAATGTAACTGAATGCGTTTAGCACTTCGCACTTTAATTACAAAAACCTAGTCATCTCCTATCAATGGTTACTATCACCCTTCGACGTGGAGGCCAAGTATTCTCTGAAGTGATTGTAGTGTACATGTGATTATCTACTCTAAAAAGTTATTTTCAAACCAAATGATATATTTTGTGAAGTAGAAAAAGGAGTTCCTTTTTGCAGGATGGAATTAGTGCTTTCCAAGGCACCTGACTTGGCAAACTTAGCCTGGGAAAAATTTCAGCACCAATCAGCAACACATTCAGTGGCGCTGTCTTCTAGCTTCCTCTAGGTTATAGAAATGACTCAGTCAGGAAATCACTAAACGCAGCCACAGGAAAAGAAATTTGAGAGTGACGTACATACCTCATGGTACTTTTTCACAGTTTTCCCTGAGCTGCATGTGCAGGACTTCCCATTGGCAATTCCACAGCCACAGTTTCCCCCACAGCGCTGCACCAGGAGGCATCGGGGGAAGAAGACCACACTGGAGAGCTTTAGCTCCTCTCTTAGGTTGACTGAGTAATTCCGTGGGGTGCAGCTGTAACGTTTGGCATCCTCATTGAGCTTGTCCAGGTCAACTGTGGGCAAACATAAACACTGTGTAAGCAAACACGCAATGGAAAGTAAAAGCCTCAGCATGGGTTCTATTCAGGGGGTGAAGTGGGGAGATTCTGTAAGGACGATATCAACTCAGGAGTGAGTCTGTCTTTGGGTACTTATAGTGGAAGATCTAATTTCTCTGTGATCCTTTCTACTTTCCAAAACCAACAACAAAACAAGACAAAAGCTTGACTAAAATCTGTGTGTGACTCAAATTTCTTTTTTTTTTTTAACAGAACAGTTTCTTCTCAGATGAAAAAAATGAAAATTTGACAACTTAAAATAAATGCCTTTTTGTTTAAAACTACAAAATAAATTATTTCTTGTTTCTAAGTAAATCCTGACTCTAAGTCATTACTTAACTATACTGTGAGATATACTGAGGACACATTAGGAATGAGCTCTGTAATGTGTATACATGGCAATAGAATTATTAGAACTTAATGGGAGGAAGCAAAAGATTTTGGTTTTATTTTAAAGCCAAAGGTTGCCAAAATGTTGAAGGAAACGATATTCTTGTGAATACGTGCATATTTGTGCACTGGGTCCTAGATGGCAGTATAGCATAGTGGTTAAGTGCTTGGGCTCTGCAGTAAAACTACAGCTTTATCATCATATTGTGCCTTCTTTGAGTGGAAAGTTACTGAATGACCCTGAACCTCTGCTTTTTCATCTATAACATATACATATTTGAAAGGTTGAATAGAACATGCCAGGTAATTAGTGGTAGGTGTTATTATTTCTTGTTTCATTTGATTTCGTCATTTGTTTTCTTTTAAAGTCAATGGTTAAAATAAAAAGATAATTAGATCTTCCTTCCTATTTTGCTTTCAGTCATTTTTCTATATAAATGATTTTCCAGGGGTATGGTTTTGGGACTACTATGAATTGCCTTAATAATCTTTAAAATGTAAGTAATAAAATTTTGCTTGAATTAAACATGTAGTGTTGCAATATGTAATTGTATTTTAAATAGTGCTCTCCAAATCCACTCCATCATCCATCCATTTGAGATTCAGATCCTGACTGTTGTGCACATCACAAGTATCTTCTCACCAGAATGTCAGCGGAAGAAAGCTCTTTTGTCTGCAAATCTTGCTGCAGCTCTGTGTGTACCAGCTAAGCCACCACAAGAGAAACACCACAAATGCTGGCCAGATACCACATTCGTCCTGGGCTACAGCCCAGTAAGTTTAAACCAAAACTGCTTAAGAAGGAGTGGTCTTTGGGGGCAGAGATCAAAGGCCAAGGATGACATTAGTAAAATGCCTCAGAGGATAACTGAAGGATGGAAGGCACAGGTGTGACCTAAGTATCCATTAACCCCATAAAGTCAGAAAATTTCACTGAGAGTAAGAAAGAGACCAGCTGTGTGGCTAAATGACCCTTTGAATAGGAAATTAAATGGCAGCTGGGTTGATGTCCTATCCTGAGTGTATTTTCAGATGTATAAGTATGCTCTGATTTTCAAGGGCAGGGATTTATACCTAGCTGCTAAAAGCTAAACTCCGGACACTGTGGGGACTGAATAAATGCTAATCACTGTGAATAATTTATTGCTGTTTTTTCTTCCTTTGTAAAGACATGTCATAAGTTTAGCTACAATCAATCCAGATTTAAATTGAATGAACTCTGTCTTGGGAAAGGAACCATTTTATTGCTGCTAAAGCCCTGAAAATAACTGCAAGCAAAGCAGAAAGGATTACATAAATGGATTAAGAAGTGCAGCAATCATCCATTACAAGTGTCACCTTGAGATAAATACTGATGCTGTCCTGTGCATTACTGGGCTTGCAGGCCGGGCTGATGCAGAGAGCCAAATCTGCTGCCTATGATGGCTAGAATGTATTTGTCTAACATGCAGAATACAGAGGTGCAATTAGCAGGAAGGTATCATGACACATGTGAAGACAGAGGGGGCAGGAAGGAGGTGCCGGCCCCAAGTTTTTTCTTTAGTTCATCTTCCTGATAGGCATCACATATTTGTAATGCTTAGTTGCTCCACACCACACATTTGAAGTCGGCATTATTTAAACAAAGTGAATTATAAATGCTAAAAATAGAATTAAGGCTTTTCAAACCACTGGTTGAAAGAAAACTACCAGCATTGCTAGGGTGCTGTCAAGCTTTGCAAAGGATATGAAACTGAAGACGGGGCTATATCCCAATCTCCAAGAGAGATCTAAGCCGAACTGCAGCATGCTTTGCTATGTGAATTTAGGAAAATCTCACGGTATCCTCCAGAACAAGGATATGTGCCTTATTTCCCTTCAAACCACCCTCCTCACTTTGTACATCCATTTCACTGAGGAGCACCAGTGACTTCTTTCTCACCTGCCATGAAAAGATTTAAAATGCTGTCAGTTTTATGCATCAGTCCACTGATGTGACTAAGCCCGAGTGTGACTGCTGTAGAATCCCGCTGCCCTACTTATCAGGGGATTAAAACCACTGAAGCACTCAAGTTAGAACTAGAACTAAAAGGTTCTTCTGACTGGATGCAAATAACTACAAGGCATGACTGCAGACTTTCTCCAAGGATATTGAGCTTCCAGTCAAAGAAGACAGATGAGACAGTGCAGCGGAGCAGGGAGGCAGGCAGAGGCTGAGCAAGCTCCTGGCATGCTGGTTGGCAGGAGGCCCTTGGTATGAGCTTCTTGAAAGGATTGGCATACAAAGTGGTACGAATCATGGGAGAAAATCAGCCTTTTCTATTCTTGCATTACTTTCCATAGCTGAACATTACAGAGCACAAAGGATATTCCAATTTTAATTCAAAGGCTCATTAATTTCATCTAACTTCCCTTATTTCACCCCAGTGTACATAATGTTATAATACAGTAGCACTGAATCAAATTTCTGCATAAGGTCAACACTGAGCCTAATGATTGAATTTGATTCAATTCTCATCCAATTTGGTTTGCGACCAGAACTGTAGAAACAATTAACTTCATAAACCAAGGTATGGCTGGACTCATTTGGCTGTTCCTTTGAATTTGAGGCTTATGTTTTCATGAATTTGCAAGATCAGCTAAGATTTTCAGGTTTTGTGCTGACAGTTCTTTAGAAGAGGAGAGGCTTAATGTCCCCAAAGACTTTCTCTGGCCATGTTGGTCCAAAGCAGGAAGTGGCTCAGCACATGAGAAACTCTTCTGTGCCACCTGGCCTCAGACTGTAGCCTGGTCACAGTTTTTTTGGGCTGCAGTCATAATTCTGGGGTGGAATTAGTATAGAGAAGGGATTGGGTATGGAGGAAGGAGACTCAACCAGGTCTTGTGGATCTCAACCGTTACATTAAGTATGTAGGAACTATGAAGTTTTTCACATAGACAATTATAGGAAATCTTCACAAATGCTAAGAGTTACACAGCCCCATTACCCTCCTTTTACAGTTGAGGAAACTGAACCTTTGAAGATTTAAGTAAACCATCTGTCTACTGAATCTCTTATCCTCTTCTCCCATTTCTTTTCTCTTAATGGTAGGACAAGGAACAAATCACTTAAGCCTGCCTTTTTTAAAACCATTTGATTTTCCTAGGGACATGGCTTAGTAGCACAGTGCCTGCTTGGCAATCACAAGGTCCTGATACAAAAGAAAGAAAAAAAAGAGGAAAGAAAAAAATTGATTTCATCAATTAGAAGCAGACAACTGTGAAAAGAAACAGATATTACCTTGGTACAAGAGTTCTTTGCAAAGAATAGGTATTCAATAACTGCTCTCTGAAAGAATCAAACTACTGAATGCTTTCAATTTTTCTTATGAAAAAGGATTGTTATTTCAAGTTTTCTTTACAGGGAGTTCAGAGTACCATATTATATGCCGAATGGCTTTTATTTCTAATCTACCTTTGAGTATGTTGTAAGTGCAAATGTGTTAGGCTAGTGTGGGCATACTAGAGTTCTAGAGACAGCTGTACCATGGATGAACCATGCTGCCTGACAATAACTAACATTGAGAGCCAGGAAACCTAGAAGTAATGAAATTAGTGTGGAAAGTGGTTTTCAGAAGGCTGGCTCTCAGATACATACTTTAAGGTGATAAAGAACATGCCCTTGGCCCACGAGACTGGTACCACCATCTGTTATACAAAGTGCTAAGTACGTAGTTGCAACACTAGATTTATGGTGCTTGGGGTAGGAGTAGGAAGGGAAAAGAATATGTGAATAATTGTCCCTTGTTGTGTACCATGTGAACAGGGATTCTCAGCTTTTTATAAGCTTCACTAATGCTCCAGGAGGAGTTTGTTCATCTTTACAATCTCACTGTGATTTTAAGATTTCCGCTTCAGTAAATCAGGACATAATTGTGAAAACCATTTTCATAGTTCAACTTCAATTTTGGATGTGTAAGTAAATCTGGAAACAATGACATTTACAGCATTTATTATTTTAGTAATATTAATAATATTTAATAATACAGCATTTTACAGCATTTAGCGAGGGAATTTCAGCACATTTAAACCTAAAATCATGCAATATACTAAATTTCAGCACTGTATTTGTTGGTTTAATCCAAAGAATTGAAATATTTACCATTTGTACTTAGAAAATAACTCATGTCAAAAGGCTCCTGATGACATAATTGCTGATTTTCAAGTTTTAAAAAGTTGTAAAACAATGCGGGAATGGAAGTTTGCTGAGCACCTACTATGTGCCCAGAAAACGGTATAAGATGCTTTTAGAAGTTTAAGTCTCATTTGTTTTATTTTGTATTTATTTGTTAATCTTTTGTATTTACTTGTTATTTTGTATTTGTATGTTATTTGTTAATCTTTCATATTTGTTTTTTATTTTGTATTTATTTGTAATCATCTGTATTTATTTGTTAATCTTCATTTTGGACATTATATTTTTCCATGCTGAAGATCTGGACACTTAGACACAGAGGAGTCAAGCAACTTGTCTAAAATCCCTGGACGTGTACTAGGCATTTAACAGCTATCTGCTGGAAAATCAGTGGGTAACTGAAGTATCTGCA